CAGCTCCAAAAAATATCTTTTGTTATCTGTGCAATATATATGATTGTGACAACCTACTACTACACAAGTTTTCGGCATATATGCAAGGAAATTAATATGCTTTTTGTTTGGAAATGGGGTGTTGCGTGTGTAAGCTGACGGAGACAGGCTGTTGTTTTCACCGACACAGCTGGTTGCTAGGTTAAGAAAGTCCCGGATGTGGCAAAGTTCCCGTATGTCCGCCCGCACCTATAACTTTGTGCTTGCACTCCGATAAGAATACGTATATTATGTTACTTGTGTGCAGGCTTAACTTTGCTGTCTGTTATACTAAAAATTACTATGTCTATGTGCACTGTTATTGTTGCCGTCAAAAACCTAACATCATGCCAATACTGTCTCAGTCTTAAATATTAATAATATCAGGAGTGAATAATAGATATTATTCTCTAGTATTCAATCCTGATAATATGCAACTTCACAATGACTCATCATGTGTTTCTTATTATGTTTGTTTTAGGTATACTCTCGTACATCCTGTCGGCTGACTACTAACCATGTCTGCGGCTTACAATGAGTATCTTGTCCCTGGCAAGCGTGGCTTCCATATTGACGAGTCAGCGCTTATGTGCAAGAATGGCTGTGACTTCTATGGTAACCCAGTATGGCAGGGTTACTGCTCCAAGTGCTGGAGGGATCACTCTCAGAAAGCAAAGCAAGCTCAACAGCTGCAGCATCACCACCAGTAAATCACATATATATTATTCTCTTAAGATGACGGTGACTGTTTCTACCAGGACTCTGAATCATATTTACGAAAAGTATTCTGCCAGTTTAATGTTTGGTAAACATACCTGGTGAATTTGTCAATGCCTTGACGAGACGAGAATGTTTGGTGAATGTCGAAGTCATTGCATGCATTGTTTACTTTCAATCCTGTTTATGTAATTCGACTGTATGCTTACACCAATGCAGAGTGTCCCCTGTGCAACCTGGTGTGTCAGGTAGTCCCCATGCCTTTGCCAAGTTTGAAGAGAAGAAAAGACAGCAGGTTGACAAGCGTTCTAAGAGCATGCGGTCCATCTTCAAGAAAGCGCAGGGTAGCATCAAAGGTAATGTCCTTAATGGCTGTGTAGACCTAAGGTTTAGTGTGGGGGAATAATAGTTACTCTGAATTCATTTCCTTACTTATCAAATGCAATGAACTTCTATGTATACTTGGGTTCTTGACACTACTGAGTACGTGTGTAGTGAGGCATGGCCCTTAAACAATGAGTTGCTCAGTATACGGCAAATAAAAACTTGCGTAAGGTTGGCCCGCGATGACATAGATCTGTTAGTTGTAGTCATGCATCTGTGATTGTGCCACCAGCAGATCAGGCATCACATCCCACGGCACATTGGAATCAACAGAAGCAACCGAGCTTCGAGAGCCAGCAGGTCAAGCGCGACTTTGACGATTTCCTGAAGAGCTTACGCAAGCCGGCGGCAGCAGATGTGTTCAAACAGATTCACGCGTTTGTTGAAAAGGTGAGAGTGCTGGAGAGAATGGTAAAACTGTGGAGTGGAGAATAGAGTCTAACTGCATCAATGATATCAAGTGTTTTTAGCTCAGCTGACGAAGTTAGATGCAGCTTGTAGAATCGCATGATTGTCCGTGCGTCCGTCAACAGTTGGGCACAAATCTTAACCGCTCGACATACGGTCTTGATATTCGGGACGTCGGGGGGGATCGCGAAAAGGACTCAGTATGTCGAATTTGGGGGTCAAGGGTCAAAGGTCGAGATGTGTCAATGGAGGGGGAATATTTCCCCCTTAACTTAAGGTATAGGAGGAAATACGGAACTGCGGCACAAATCTCAACTGCTCGACCTACGCTCTTAATATTCGGTGTATAGTGTGATGGGGAGGAAACCTATGACCAGTGCGAAATTGGAGGTCACAGGTCAAAGGGCAGTGGGGGAATGGTCAGATATCAGACATTTTCAGAGGACATGGTCTAATGGACCGAGCGCAAAACTTTGTTTCAGCGCTGACCTACCGTTTTTATCACTCTATTGAAAGGACCATGAAATCTACTTTCCGCTGACATGTGAAGAGTAAGTGTCTGATAACCTTTTGACCCTGAAGAGGAGGGTTAAACATGGATTTGTTGACTGTTAACAAAGGACTGAACTGCTTTTGCTATTAGAGCCCTCTCCACCTGCCCCTCCCCCCACCACCACCACTACGCTCGCGCTCGACGCATATCCATGATAACGTTAATATAGCGAAGTCATTAAAGTTACACAGCTATATCTTTTAATATTACTGTACTACCGGTATAGAAAAGCCTATCAACGCGGTGGCGGGAGGGCGCACTTGATTCGGTTGCCAGTGAGTTTATCAGAAGAATACCCGGCTACAGTACATGTCAGTTGAGCACTGTCGCTCTGCGGCACTTGTTTCCTAATTTTAATCGGTTAATCGATTTTTATGCGGCGTATGCGTCATATGTTTTACTTGACCGGATACACAGGTTCAGCAGAGTGAGGACATGCCTATTGAGGATCTATCAGAGATGGTACAGGATTTCTATCAGAGCATGGCAGAGAGGCTGCAGACCCACACTGCTTTCAAAGGTGGGCTGTCCATTTTGAATCTTACGTGATACATCGTGCTTATCTATTCGAAGCTACTGCTAAAGTTGTTGTTTTTTCGTTGACACTAGGACATGGCATATGGCATGTGTGCGAAGCAGGCTTGCTGCCACTCGCACTGTTCTACATCGCGTATTATAATAAGCAGGGATTGCGCGTGTGTGTGCGCGACTCGCTACCATACACTGATGCGCATCCGTGCCTGCGTAGGTTTCAGTGAGGAGCAGGCTGAACAGTTGCTGGGCTTCATAGAGAAGTATCTAACGACTCGGCTGTACAAGCTGCTCTTCTGCCCGCTGACGACCGACGACGAGGAGAAGGACCTGCGCGTGCAAAACCGCATCCGCAGCCTCAACTGGATCACGACGACACAGCTGGACGCGGAGGTCGACGATCGTGACCCCGTCATACGCGAGAAGATCGACCAGGCGATAACGGGTGGGTTGTGTGGTGTGAGAAGTTAATGTGTGTTGTGGTTGTTGCTTGTTGTTGTTCGTTGTTGCTGTTGTTCGTTGTTGTTGCTTGTTGTTCGTTGTTGTTGCTTATTGCTCGTTGTTGTTGTCGTCGTCGTCGTCGTCGTTGCTGTCATTGTTGAAAGTGGTTGCACGCGTGTCGAGGCAGAGGTTCTATACCGAGCAGCTTTCTGCAAACGTTAGGCTTGTTGATTAACACTAGAATACAGGTTGAACTAGAAATGGTTCCTATTCAAATAGAAACTTATTCAATTACTAGTCAAATTACTCATTAAATTTAGTTGGAACCCATGTGTTGATTGATTCCAGCTGGCATGTCGCTAATATCCCAACTTCGTCTACAATTTATCAAATTTTTCTCTTTTTATTTTCTATTCTAACTGCAGATATAATAAAAATGGATTCGAAAAGGGCTCCTCAGGACAAACTTGCTTGTACTGTCCGCTGTAGCAAGCAGATATTTGAAATCCTGAAGGCTTCACGGGGTATGTACTATACAGTCACCTTGTATCTTTCACAATCTTGACACTATAGCTTACTAGCGCGCGTGACAGTGATGAAATGGACTTCGTCAATGTTAATTCTCTCGATTGACATCATCCTTTAGTTCTCACTCCTATAATAATTTGTTGTGGATCCAGGTCAGCCCGCAAGTGCGGACGAGTTTCTACCAGCTCTTATATACATCGTACTGAAGGCAAATCCTCCACTGCTGCATTCCAACATGAGCTACGTCATGCGATTCGGCGACCCAAGCAAGCTAATGAAGGGCGAGGCTGGCTACTACTTCACAAACCTGGTAAGTCTCATCGCTATGTGTTCCTCAGGTTAATAGCAGTACGGTTTGCTTTTCCATCTTATTTGCTACAGCTGCAGGCCCCGAGTTTTAGTGTCCGAGGTTTATTAGGAGTAAGACAAAAACGTCGTTATACTAACAATCGTAGTTATCTTGCACTGTGACAATTATTCTGCGATTACGTACAAATCAAAATATTAATGTGCATATTTAGCTCCACACTGCAGCCTGTCCCCTGCAGGGGAAGAATTCTTATTTGCTGTGCTCTTACTTTACATTTTATTGTTACCCCTTTACATTTTCATTTTTAGTGCTGTGCGGTATCCTTCATAGAGAACATCAATGCAGAGTCACTCAGTCTGACACAAGAGGAGTTTGGCCGCTACATGTCTGGTGAGGCGGTACCACCTGGTGGATACGGAAGTAATGGCTCCACATGTGAAGGTATGCCTTAGCTATGCTGATTGGGAGGGGTTGGTTTTTATAGAGATTTGCTTTTTATGGCCTTACGGTTGCTATATCGAAAAAGTTTGTAGGACTTTTCCAATTTCAGTGTTGTCATTGTCTTTTCTGCATGACATCTTAACAAAGGACTACCTGAGTGTAATACTGCATAGTTCTGAAAGTAGTATCTAAATAAAGTCACCCCTTGTGCAATTTGTTAAGAGTATCAGCTAGCGTGTTCGCCTGCCACGTGCGCGCTCTTCCTTCCGTAGGTCTGCGTCTGATGTATCAGAACCTGAACGCGCTAGCGGAACTGTGCAAGCGACAGGAGACGCTCATGGAGAACACGCTGACGCTCCAGCAGGAGATGCGAGGCTTCAAGGAAGCCATGCTGCAGGAGATAGACGGCGTCATCGCGCGCACGCCGTGCACGATCCGCGAGCGCGTTAAGGCGAACATCGACGAGGAAGACTCGGAAGTGGACAACCTGCCGCCTCCGCTGCTGCCAACACCGGCTTCCGTCTAGGTGTCGGTTTTCACCACACCCACTGTTCCTGTCAAATGCATTATGCATGCAACGATTTACACACTTCGAATGTACACCGACCAAAGTCCCGACTACTGGCGTTTTATTTCATGTTACAAGTGGGATTGTGTGGAAAATAATGAGAATCAAGATGAAGATTGTAAAGTGTCAACACTGCGTTGTTATAATTTATAAAGACACTGACAGTCAGGTGATGTAAATATATTTTCACCTCATGGAGTACCACAATACTACACCAGTATTTTTAGGTGTATAAATATGTTAAACCTCGATTATCCGAACGAGACGGGCGGGGAGTATTTTGTTCGGATAACTGATCTGATTGTAAATAAAGGTTAAATATTCACGGGACCTTGATATCTTGTTCGGATAATCCGAAATTCGTATAATAGATGTTCGGATAACCGAGGTTTGACTGTATATGTTTTTGTGCTGTAAATTTCCAAACAATAGGTAACAACTTGTGATAAAATACTGTGGAGATGACAGTCGATGTAAATGATTTAGTGCACAAAATCAAGAGTAATAGAACTAGAGGTAAATTGATAATAAAATGACATTATTAACTTAAACCAGCGTAGCCAAAAATTACTGCTAACATGGTGCTAGCATATTCATTTCATACAGTGTTATCTAGACGATACAGAACAGGACGGGGATGAAGTTAGCATTACAAATTAGATGCACAAAGATGTGCTAAAAGATATAACTACATTAGGATGTACGACTGAGTGAATATAACTATAATTAACTGTTTTAGTTAATTACTCACATATAATGCATCCATGGGTAGCCCTTTTTATGGAAACATACTAGTTCGTGATTTTAGGCAAAGACATCCAACTTTAAAACCCAATTGGCCTTTGGTACACACCTTACCAGTACACCAGGTCACACGTGACGGTTACCCAACTTTCAGACCCTCTCAGACTTTTGTAGAAATATGCTTGCCAAATTGACCTCTCACGACCATAGCGGTAAAAGGGGCTATCGCATGATAAAGTATACGTTTCAGTTGAAGTTACGGGTTCAACTGTTTTTATATATATTGCACCTATGACAGAAAGGCCATATTAACATGACTTGTAATTGTACAACATCGCATGATTTCATTATCACATCAGATGCTTCTAAATGAATTGTGGTCCTGTCAGTTCTTGAAATACAAGCATGAACTTCATATTAAAGAAATTCACGCAGGAATTAATCATTTTCCTATGTACAACATACAATATTGCATGATTAGATTCACATAAAACGTCATTAACACAATATTCACACATTTAGTTATACTCATTTCATGATCATGTTTTGGATATTGATGGATTTACAGGCGCCACATACTGCATGAATAAGCTCAAACATTTGTGAAATGTGAAACAAAATCATAACTCGACCGAGTAATCGGTGTAAACATTTCTTGCACAGTATTGTTCAACAGTGAACATGTCTGCATGTGGCAAATGAATGCTAGGTCATAATAAACATGAACCATAAATTTTGACTAAAACTTGATATTACAAAGGCATACTATGAATTCAACAATACAGGACAACGTTACAGATAATTTATTAATACTATGCAGTAGAAAATCTTCCTAAAACATATACGATTTAAGCAGGTGTGCAATTCTGGACACTATTTAGAAAACTTGCACGAGAACAATTTATACAGCGCCACAAGATCTCTGGCTAAAACTTTCTTCCAGATTTATTAAGTAAAATGCTGAAAAACTAGTCATTGATCGCATACGGCCACTCAAGATAATGCATATTATAATCTCTAGACAGTACAGGCAGCAAATAGTTTATATATAATCAGGAGTAGATAACAGGGAAGGAGTGTGACTTCAATAAACAAGGGAAATTCGTCATTTACTAGCCTTAGAATACCTACGATTTACTACGCGTAACTCAACCAACTTGAGCTCAAATCGTACACAGTACATTCGCCTAGCATCGTGCGAAATCATTTCCTCGTATACACCCGCAATCCGGAGATACAGACTAAAACGTACGACACGATTATCCATTCTGTTGCCATCAATCCGAATGTATTGTCCGCCTAACTCGAAATAAAAGGCAGCTACTAACCACAGCTTGCTCTCTCGGCGAGGCGGTGTGGCTCGCTAGGAGATTGGCACGCTGCCGCTGAGCCGCTGCTGATTGCGGTGGGGGGGGGGCATACCAGCTTGGCTCGCCGAGTCACAGGCCGAGTGTTGCGTCGATGTCCAATCTCCCAGCAAGCCACACCGCCTCGTCGAGAGAGCAAGCTGTGGTTAGTAGCTGCCTTTTGTTTCGAGTTAGGCGGACAATACATTCGGATTGATGGCAACAGAATCGATAATCGTGTCGTACGTTTTAGTCTGTATCTCCGGATTGCGGGTGTATACGAGGAAACGATTTCGCACGATGCTAGGCGAATGTACTGTGAACGATTCGAGCTCAAGTTGGTTGAGTTAAACGTAGTAAATCGTAGGTATTCTAAGGCTAGTAAATGACGAATTTCTCTTGTTTATTGAAGTCACACTCCTTCCCTATTCTCTATTCCTGATATAATGTAATTATATATACATGCATACTGGCAAACAATGCACATTACTGTGCCGTTTTCATAAAAACAGTATCTAGGCATATATATATATATATATATATATATATATATATATATATATATAAACTATGCTAAAAACTCATAGTTATGCTTACTATGGTTAAGTCTTAGCATATAATCCTGTCAACTATTCTAAATTTAGCCCAACTAAACACAAAAAGTGCATGGAAAATGCATAATAATCGGTCTAATTGTGTAATGTTGATGGAGTAGCATTTGATCAGAAAGCACGAGATTTCAATCACCTGTGTATAGAAGTCCGTACCTTTTACTTCCTTTTTCACACTGTTCCTTTACAGACTGATAGAATTAGGAATACGAAGATGAAGAGATGACTGCACACATGACGGTAGATATTTCACATTATGTACAGCTGCTGACCAAAATTAAACGCCTACTAACCTCAGATGGCAGCTTTCTGCTATCTTGATGCACTGTTAGACAGGTGATCACTGTAGCAGTGTTTTGCCTTTGGATCTCTGTAGGAATTCTCATGCTGCACACTCTGGAACACAAGAAGGAGTGTACAAGGTAATAGTATAGGCACGACAAATAGTTAGTAGAAACCATAAATTATTTGTAAGGATTTGGATAGTAAAATTATTCATAGACTACCACAATAATAGTATAGAAAAGAATAAATGTGACAAAAGCTCTAGAGGTTAGTTAGCTATCTATGTTACATAACCTTCTTCCACAGTTCTTCCAACTACAGCATTAGACTGGCAGGTCACACAACATATACTGCTTCAACAACTACACGTACATGTCCATCCGTTATGCAGAAGGGCTTACCTGTGATGACGTGCGACACTTGGCAAGACACAACTCAAAGTGGTCTGACACGGAGGAATACAGCAGATTGTTTGCTGCAGCTGCTTTGTCTAACACAGTTTCCAGCAGAGGTCTCTGGAGGCACAGAATATTTTCACGCATTGTAAGACGTATGTCGAATAACATTGTTATCAGCAACAATAAAGCACTGTCATTTTACGCCTGGAATTTAGAATCGGGTCCCAGTGGCTATTGATGTGTGTCCTGGTAAATCATTTTATATCTAACGATGATAGTTTTTACTCAATCTTTTCCAAGTTACCCATATGGTAAATTTTCACACATGTCCTACTTGTAAAGCTGGACATAACTTCCAAGTTCCTTTAAATGGGGATATACTTAGTTATCTTATTCCATATCATATTCAGTACTTAGGTTGACTAGCACTAAATCATGAGAATGTCGCCTAACAATAGACTTTAACCAAAATTAGCTACACATACACTATAGCCACATTATTACCTTTTCCGGATCCAAGCAGCAAGATATACAGTATTCATAGATCGCACAACAACCATTCTTCAGACACGTATCACAAGCATAGTGTTTCGTGTTCGGAGAGTACACATTGCAGCAACCACCTGGCTGAATATCTACCCGTGTACACACATACCCTGAAACATCCAAAACAGCATAGTGAAGACAATGAGTATAAACTAGTGTAGATGCTATGATGATAATATATAGTTGTACTGACCGTATTACAACCACTCAGATAGCCTACAGAATACTAGTGTCTCGATTTTCCACACAGACAATCATTTGTGTAAAATTTACAATACATTGTAAATACGCAGCGAGTTTCTGATGCCTCTTATTGGTAGGAGTAGATGTTAATATTAGTGATTAATGTAAGAAGTAGCATTTCAATTAAATGAATGAATTTTTAAATCTTGGATTCACTGTACCTCGCTCATCAGCTATGAGAGCCTTTCCCTGAACAGAGTTCCTACATGTTTTTAACTGTGTAGAATTGGCTTCATCAAACTTTGGCTGCCACTGAAACGACTTTGGCGTCCGTGACCTCCTAATATCAACATCTTGAATTACCATGGAACGGGACTGTAAATAAAATATAAAAGTGCATGTAAGTTCTAGTATAAGTAATTGCAGTGCATGCCATTATAATACGGGTCCGTCTAATTACCGAAAGGCACCGGAAGGCATACCAAAAGGCAAACCGAAAAGCACCGTAAGGCACCTAAAAAACACTGAAAGGCTCTATGAGAACACCGTATTCCACCAGAAGAAGCAGTCCGGAGCTGAAATGTCAAAAAAAAATTCCACCGAAATGCCCTAAAAATGACTGAACTCGGCCCGAAATGAGGTAGACAAATAATTAATTCGGCGCCAATGTTTACATGCCACAGCGCCATCTCTTGGGTGTTTTATAAGTAAATATGGGGATTTTCAATAAAATAATGCGTTTTTAATGTATTTACCACAATTTACGTATAGACTATAGAAACTATATGTTATTTTTACTGATTTCTCCATATCTTTCCTTGAATTTTCATTGTCTTTCAATGCCTTTCGGTAGATTTTTCTGCGTTTCTGTGCCTTTTGGTAATTTGCTGTCTAAACACTAAAAGGCGCAAAAGGCAGCTAGGGTAAAAAATCCCGAAAGGCCTTTTAACACACCCAAAAATACACCGAAAGACACTAAGTAACACGAATCCATTCCAAAGGCATCAATAAAAGAACACTGAATGTCACAATGAGCGAAAAAAACTCCCCACCGAAATGCGCGAAAATGACAGAAAAGTATTTACAGGCTGTGCTCTCTTGCTCCGAGTTAAATCACCTCGGTGAAAACGACAGTTAATAAATTCTAGTTGTGTGTGTTCCCTCTCCCGAGTATACTTCACGGTAGTCGCCTGCCATCATTATGCACGCGGTTCGGTCGCATCGCGCGCTACCCTCCTAATAATCTGCGAGTAGCGGCAAACATCGGTGTGCACACACGTGACAGCAGCTAGCTACTGGTTGTTTGCCGCGCTCTACCGCCTGCAAACCACAACGGTGAGGGAAGGATTATGTTATAATACACGATAACATCTGCATGCTTACGTCATGCCATCGATAAAATTAGACTGAAATCTGCATTCACATATACTAAAGCTTATAAAGACTAATAACGCTTGAAGTCTGATTGTTAGAACACTTAACATGCATTCTTCAATGATACCGCGATTGCCAGCTGACGCACGCGCGTGTCATATCAGGCTAGGCTGACCCAACTGATGTATTGCTAGTTCTATCGGCGACGATTGATATCTCACTACCGTTGATGCAGACAGTTTTGGCTGTTATCTCCCAGTCTATATAGAACTCACAATTTAAGTGCTGTGAGCGCTCTCTCTCTCTCGTCTCACTCTCTCAATCTCTCTCTCTCTCTCTCGTTCTCTCTCTCTCCATTCTCATGCTCCCCCTCTCACTAATCTGTCTGTCGCCTTTGTTGGAAGAGTCTGAATGTATTTATCACGCTTTACGGCAACTATATCTTATTTTTACTGAATTTCTCCTGCAGCGCTTCCCTTATCTTTTTACCCACGTTTTGTGCCTTTCGGTAGTTTTCTTCTTGCCTTTCAGTAATTTTTCAATATGCCTGTCTAACTATCGAACGGCACAGAAGGCAAAAATACTCCCACCGGAAATGCGCGAAAAATTGACAGAAAAGTATTTACAGCTGTTGCTCTCTGCTCCGAGTTAAATCGCCTCGGTGCAAACGACAGTTAAGTAAATTCTAGTTATGTGTGTTCCTCTCCCGCTGACTTCACGTAGTCTAATGCCGTAAACTCGGAGCAGGAGATGCATTGGCTGTAAATAAGTTTTCTGTCATTTTTGCGCATTCGTGGGAGTTTTTTTGCCTTATTGTGGCATTCAATGTTCCTTTGGTGGATTTGCTGGTTTACTAGCGCGCTCTCTCTCAGATTTTTACGCATGTTGTCAGTGGCTTTCAGTATTTTTTCTCCGTCTTTCCGCTGCTTTCGGTATTTAGACAGCATTGATGAAAAATTAAACCCGAACAGGCAACCAAAGAGTGGTGAAAATATTACAAGGGAAAGTGCAGAGAAATCGGTAAAAATAAGATGATTAGTTGCCGGTAAAGCGTGATAAATACTACAGACTCTTCCACCAAAGGGCGCACAGTACAGCAATGAGAATGGGGAGAGAGAGAGAGAGAGAGAGGTGAGAAGAGAGATGAGAGACGAGAAGGAGAGAGGGGAGAGAGAGAGAGAGACGAAGTAGGGAGAGAGATAGAGTGAGAGGTCGGAGGATGACAGACGAATGAGAGAGAGAGAGACGAGAGAGAGAGAGAGAGAGAAGAGAGAGAAAGAGAGGAAGAGAGAGAGAGAGAGCAGAGAGAGAGAGAGAGAGAGAGAGAGAGAGAGAGAGAGAGAGCCGAGAGGATGAGACGGAGAGACGAAGGAGAGAGAGAGAGAGATGAGAGAGAGAGAGAGAGAGAAGACGGAGAGATAGAGAGAGAGAGAGAGAGAGAGAGAGAAGAAGAGATCCGCGCGGCACAGCACAGCAAATTAGTGTTGAGTTTCATTATAGACTGGAGATTGACGCCAACTTCGCATCAGCAGTAGTGAGATATCAATCGGCGCGATAGAACTCGCATAACAGCAGTTTTCAGCTAGCCTGATAATGAACGCGCTGTGCTCGTCAGCTGCGTATCAGCGGTATCATTGAAGATGCATGTTAACTGTCTAACAATGCAGACTCAAGCGTTATTAATCTTTTAATAGCTTAGTAGATATGGTGATGCAGATTGGTTCAGGTCTAAGTTTTATGATGCATGACGTAAGATGCAGATGTTATCGTGTATTATAACGATAATCCGTCCGTCAACACTCCGCCTGTGTGTTTGCAGGCGGTAGAGCCGCGCAAAACAGTAGCTAGCTGCTGTCCGTGTGTGCACACCGATGTTTTGCGCTACTCGCATGATTATTAGGGAGTAGTAGGCGCCGATGCGACCGGAACCGCGTCATAATGTATGGCAGCGACTTCGTGAAGTATACTCGGGAGAGAGAACACACATAACTAGAATTTATTAACTGTCGTTTGCACTGCGACCCGATTAAACTCGATGATCAGAGAGGGCATTGGCTATGTTAAATGTTTTCTACTCATTATCGTCGTTTCGGTGAGGCTGTTTTAGCCTTATTGTGGCATTCAGTGTTTTATTGATGCCTTTAGGAATGGATTTCCGTGTTACTTAGTGTCTTTCGATGTATTTTTAGTGTGTTAAGTAGGCCTTTCGGAATTTTTTAACCCTAGCTGCCTTTTGCGCCTTTTAGTGTCTAGACAGCAAATTACCAACAAGTGCCGCAGAGGCGAACAGCGCTCACCTGACGGCAGGTGTTCTGATGCTAAACTCACTGGCAAATGAATGAAGAGCCCCCTCCCATCACCGCGTTCGCGCTCAGAGCATATACCCAGGATACTACTAATACAGATCTAAAACCTATAATAGCTAGGCTTTGCTATACCGTAGTACAGTAATAAAGATACAGCTGTGTAACTTTAATGACTTCGCTATATTAACCATGTTATCATGGATATGCGTCGAGCGCGCGAGCGTAGTGGTGATGGTGGGGGAGAGTGGGGGGAGGGGTGTGGTGAGGGGCCTCTAATAGCAAAAAGCAGTTGCTGCGAGATGTGCGCTGTGCAAGTGTCATCATAATTCAAAGATGGCATCACCCTTCGTGCGTGATAACCTCACTCCACTGAGTTGCTGAAATCCAAGTATATTCAGCAGGCGAGAATTCTGCTCAGCTGTGAGTTAACACATCTGCATTGCAGGTTGCCAGGCAATAATTATGATTAGAATAGTGCCAGTTCACCCCCATGCATGTGTAATAGGCTCCCCCATGTTTTGCCTACACACGCGCAGCATCAGGGTTCATTACACTGTGCTATTACAGGGTGCTACTACGGGTGCTAATACAGGCTGTTTAGAAAATATATGATTTAAGGGAGCGTAAACCTTGATTCAACAAAACATTTGCCTTTGCAATTGAACTGTGCAACTGTAGCCTCAACATCCACAATAGCAAAAGCAGTTCAGTCCTTTGTTAACAGTCAACAAACTCCAGGGTTTCTCCTTACCGTTGCGCAAACGGGGCGGCTGCGCCGCGTTTGGGAAAACTCCCCCCTTGTTGAATCGTTGCCGCCCCGTTTAAATTACCTCCGCCCCGTTTAAATTCCACCACAATAAAAAGTTTGCCAGCGCGGAATCGTATCGTCAAGAAATGCTGTTCGACCAGGACTCCGCGCGTCATTTTACCGTACCACGCATGCACTGCAGACAGTACACAAGTTAACCTGACAATGCACAGTTAACCCTGTTCACTAACTGTACACCGACTCGGCTATCTATATAATACAAACCCCAAATACCGGTCTATGGTGTGGTGCGATTTTACGCATTAATTAGTCGTACGGTAAAAATACACGCCCCGGACCCGCCCTAGTTCCCCCCTCCCCCTCCCCCTAGTTTCAGAAAAGTTTCCTAGAAAAGTTTTTCAATCGCTCCGTCACCATGTCCTCAGAAAATGTCTAAAATCTGCCCCGTGCCCCATTGACCTTTGACCTGTGACCTCCAATTTCGGCAAGCAGAGATGGCTTTTCCTACCATGATGCTATACAACCACATATCACGAGCCTAGGTCGAGCCGTTTAGATTCGTGCCGCAATTCTGCATTTCCTCGCCTATACTTTAAAGCCGCACTATGCGCTCCAAACGCTAATTTCTCCAGTACTAGACAGCAAATACTTCGTGTCATGCATAATCCACTAACCTTATGACAAAATAAACCTAGTTCCTCCATTTCACTGCGCGTTTGCTTAAAACCCACAAGAAAGAGGTGAGAAAACTGCATTAGCTGCGGCTAACGCCGACTTATTTGCCAAACAATTTATCCTTGAAGCGGTTCGGTGACGTCACATGTTTTTATCTTTGCTACGCTCCTACCGCTGTACCGCAGCACGCGGGTGCGGTTGCTTGGCCGGGCAACAGCGAAATGTCAAAACAACGGAAAATTAATTTGAAACAACATTGGCGGTATTTTCAAATGCCTTTTTATAGACAACGCGCAGTGAAATGGGAGGAACTAGAGTTTATTTTGTCATAAAGGTAGTGTGATTATGCATGACACGAAGTATTTGCTAGTCTAGTACTGGAGAAATTAGCGTTTGGATGCGCATAGTGCGGCTTTAAGTAAGGAGGAATGTTCCCCTTCTTTACACCTCTTGACCTTTGACCTTTGACCGCCCCAGCTTCGACATCCCAACTCGTTTTGGCGATCCGCCAACCGTCCCAAATATCGTGACCGTGCGTCGAAGCGGGTTAAGATTTTGTCCCACTGTTGACGTGGACGGACGGCCGGACGCACGGACGATCATGCGATTCTACAAGCTGCATCTGACTATGTCAGATCAGCTAAAAAGCACAGAAATGCAGAAAAATCTACCGAAAGGCATTGAAAGACAATGAAAAATTCAAGGAAAGATACGGAGAAATCAGTACAAATAACATAGTTTCTATACGTAAATCGTGGTAAATACATTAAAAACGCATTATTTTATTGAAAATCCCCATATTTACTTATAAAAGATCCAAGAGATGGTGCTGTGGCATGTAAACATTGGCTCAGAATGAAGTATTTGTGTACCTCATTTGAGGCCGAGTTCAGTCATTTTTAGGGCATTTTGGTGGAATTTTTTTTTGACAATTCAGCTCCGGACTGCTTCTTCCGGTGGAATTCGATGTTCTCATAGCGCCTTTCAGTGTTTTTTAGGTGCCTTCCGGTGCCTTTCGGTAATTAGACGGACCGTTATAATACTGTACAAAATATTTTTAATTTTATTTAACCTTGTCCCTATAGTTCCCATATTGCATAGAGAGGTCAGCATTAGTTCCCCACGAATCTAAACTAAACTGTCACTAATAATGGGACACGATACCGAGTTAAACAGTACCCTAATTGATAATGTTACTAGAGCATAACGATACATAAATACAACAATGTAACACAACAAAGAGTAGCGTAACACTACTCTGTGGAGTGACACGATTGTATTTAAACCACACGGTCACCCTTCCCCTTAGATGGATGTTGTGAGATGAATCATTGAATGTGTATAGTGAAAACTTGACCGTAATGTTGACATTGTAAATCTAAATTTAATGATTGTTGTGGTGTGCAAAAAACTAACTCGTCTATTTTGCCTTTATTACAACTAAAACTAGGCTAGTTCTTAGAAAGTATGTGCTAAACTTAAATTCAGAAGACATTTTACCCGTTACCGAAAGTCTACATGTTTACCTTCACTTCAGTTACACTTACAAGTTACAGTTACAGACTACAGACTACAGTAGGCCTACAGTACAGTATACAGTAACTGTGTCAGGATCGGAATGTCTTACCTGACTATATAAACTGTGTCAGGATCGGAATGTCTTACCTGACTATATAAACTCGTGATGCAATATATGAATGACAAAGCTAGAATCAGCAAAAGGACCCAACGCTTCCGAAACGTCTTAAAGGAAAACATGGACTAAAGTGAAACATTATTTACACAATGTTTGAATAAAGACACAAGAAAATTGTAAAACTTAACCAAAACAAAAATGTCTCAAGTTCGTGACGCACGCCCTCTTCCGGGACACATACTAGTTTAAGACAATTCACACAATTCAACGTTCACAAAACTAACGTAGCAAATATTTGCATGCAAAACGACTAGAAAAATACGTCAATAATGTGACTTACTATTTTAATTTATTTAATATCAAAACAGGTAACATTTACTCAATAATTTAAAAAAATCTTCACATAAAATGTTAAACAAGAGAACACTGTTAGTCATAGTTGTCATCATATCGACTTGTTGACTTGACAGGAATGTGGGTCAATGACAATAATACGGCCCGGGCAATACTCATATTTTAATACCACGAGATAGGTGAGGATATGCGTAGGTTATGCCTAAATATATGTTGGCAGTATATAATGTAAAAAGTGTTTTTCAAAACTTTTTGTATTTGTGACTTGTCTTCTTCTGTTCAACCCACTGGCACTGCCACTGGCACTTATTCGGACCTTCGAGTTCATGATTGATTCGTCATCATCTAATGAAGTTGTGAAATTATTCATTATCTTATTCTTATCATTAATATCACTGTATCAGTATCAGAATGGCCAGCTGAGAGACGTATTACGGATGTTACGTGAGCATGTACAGTGCTCGAAATAAGAAAAAAAATGTGGTTGTCCTGCGGACAACCCCGGCATCAAATCATGTTGTCCGCAACAATTTCTGGTTGTCCCAAAAAATATCCCCAAATCTCCTATTTTCAATCAAATAATAATATGATCAGAAAACACCCAAAAACAGTGGCATAGCCAGGATTTTTTAACAAGGGGGACCAAAAACAGCGAACTGCGCAAAATAGTGGAAGACTTAATATTTTACTGGCTCCTCCGCCTCCCTCTCCACACCCTACGGCTCCTCTAAAAAAATACACCGAAAGACACTAAGTAACACCGAAATCCATTCCAAAGGCATCAATAAAGAACACTGAATGTCACAATGAGGCAAAAAAAAACTCCCACCGAAATGCGCGAAAATGACAGAAAAGTATTTACAGCTGTTGCTCTCTTGCTCCGAGTTAAATCACCTCGGTGAAAACGACAGTTAATAAATTCTAGTTGTGTGTGTTCCTCTCCCCGAGTATACTTCACGTAGTCGCCTGCCATCATTATGACGCGGTTCCGGTCGCATCGCGCCTACTCTCCCTAATAATCTGCGAGTAGCGGCAAACATCGGTGTGCACACACGTGACAGCAGCTAGCTACTGGTTTTGCGCGGCTCTACCGCCTGCAAACACACAGCGGTGAGGGGAAGGATTATGTTATAATACACGATAACATCTGCATGCTTACGTCATGCATCGATAAAATTAGACTGAAATCTGCATTCACATATCTAAAGCTTATAAAGACTAATAACGCTTGAAGTCTGATTGTTAGACACTTAACATGCATCTTCAATGATACCGCGATTGCCAGCTGACGTCACGCGCGTTCATATCAGGTAGCTGAAAACTGATGATATGCGGAGTTCTATCGCGACGATTGATATCTCACTAGCTTGATGCAGACAGTTTGGCGTCATCTCCAGTCTATATGAGAACTCACAATTTAGTGCTGTGCGCGCTCTCTCTCTCTCTCTCTCTCTCTCTCTCTCGTTCTCTCTCTCCCATTCTCTTGCTCCCCCCTCTCACTCTCTGTCTGTCGCCTTTGTTGGAAGAGTCTGTAATGTATTTATCACGCTTTACGCAACTATATCTTATTTTTACTGATTTCTCTGCACCTTCCCTTGTATATTTTTACCACTTTTTGGTGCCTTTCGGTAGTTTCTTCTGCCTTTCGGTAATTTTCAATATGCTGTCTAAATATCGAAAGGCAGCGGAAGGCAGGAGAAAAAATACCGAAAGGCCACTGACAACATCATAAAAATCGAGAGGCACTAAGTAACAGCAAAATCCACCCAAAGGAACATTGAATGCCACAATGAGGCAAAAAAAACTCCCACCGAAATGCGCGAAAATGACAGAAAAGTATTTACAGCTGTTGCTCTCTTGCTCCGAGTTAAATCGCCTCGGTGCAAACGACAGTTAATAAATTCTAGTTATGTGTGTTCCTCTCCCCGCGTGTACTTCACGTAGTCGAATGCCGTAAACTCGGAGCAGGAGAGCATTGGCTGTAAATAGTTTTCTGTCATTTTTGCGCATTTCGGTGGGAGTTTTTTTTGCCTCATTGTGGCATTCAATGTTCCTTTGGGTGGATTTTGCTGTTACTTAGCGCCTCTCGATTTTTACGATGTTGTCAGTGGCCTTTCAGTATTTTTTCTCCTGTCTTCCGCTGCCTTTCGGTATTTAGACAGCATATTGAAAATTACCGAAAGGCACCAAAAAGTGGTGAAAATATACAAGGAAAGGTGCAGAGAAATCGGTAAAAATAAGATATAGTTGCGTAAAGCGTGATAAATACATTACAGACTCTTCCACCAAAGGCGACAGACAGAGAGATATCAACAACCGATTTCAAGTCTTGCTTGTAATGTAACCAGCAGTGATATTGGACAAACTAATACGCATTTGCCTATAAGGTAATGTACTTATTAGCTACACAAGGTGCCAGTTACTCTAGCATTCGTCAACATTGCATAATCAATGGCCATATTATTCCTTTAATGAGCATGTGTTTGTAAGAAACTAATATCTGAAAGATTAGCGCCTGGTTGGGATATAGTAAGCAGGGAGTTTGTTAAAGGTTACCTAACTAAGCCTAGTAAGCACAGTGTGCCAGGCACATCTATCTCTAATATGAGTGACTACCATATTGTATATTGCTGTTGTCTTGATTACTTTGTACCTGCCATTTGTAGTTCTGTGTTTATAATATTTCTAGGAACAATGGTGCTTATTGGATTGTTTGGCACTTTGTATCATGCTAACACCAATTTGAAGAAACAAGTTGCTAGAAAGGTATATACATCATTTTTCATTTAGTCGCAAGTCGAAATACATAAAGTGGATAAAATAATATCTTATATTATATTATATAAAATATCTACTAAGCTTGTGAGTTCATCTGTTTTTGCATCCAGCCAATCTGTGCGCATTGGGTTTCTGTAGCATTAACTTTTTAATTTGTCCACCATTCAGTGGATAAGTGCTAATGAAAACATTTTGTATTTTTGCTTGCATTAGGAAAGGAGAAGCATTGGCGTTTTGTCATGGATAATCTGCCTCATGATTGGAAATGTCTGTCTTCTTTACTTTGTGTTTCAAGAGGAGCAGCTATATTATGCGTAAGATGCTTTAAGTGATAGTACAGGAACTGCAGCTTAGCCTTACTACATATTAGAATAAAATTGACACCTGACTGCGTGCGATTATGTCATTGAAGGTGGACCCTAATTTTTTAGCTCATCTGACATAGTCAGATGCAGCTTGTAGAATCGCACGATCGTCCGTCCGTCCGTCCGTCCGTCCGTCCGTCCGTCCGTCCGAGCGTCCGTCAACAGTTGGGCACAAATCTTAACCGCTCGACGTACGGTCACGATATTCGG